GATCGTCTGGCGCCTACAGCCAAGGGCACGCGCCGTCATGCGCACGACCAGCACACTGACACCGTTGTGATTACGTGAAAATATCTGGAAAAGTTTGAAGCATCGGGGTGATCACAGCCGAGCCAAGCCATGTGGCCAACACAAGTTTACCGCGCATGACACTTTCTTAGCAACTAGGCTCCGTGGTCGCTCATGTTTCTCTCTAAGGGAGGCGCCATGTGAAGCACTGGCAGCAACAAATCTCCAGGGCAAGCTTGAGAGAGAGAAGTTTCACGGAAGGGACGGCACAGAGCACGACGAAGCATGACGAAAACCACGGAACCCCCCCCCAAAGAGGGTCCCAAAGCCTTCGGACGCGTAACAAAAGAAAGGGATCTCGCACAAGGGCAGCAGCAGACCCTTGAGAACCGACTCCACCTCCACACCTGAAACACAACGACGCAAGGCCCGGTAGCCTCCGATGGCGAGAGAAGCTCGTCCTTCTGGGCAAGGTAGGTCGTCTGCATCCCCCCTCCCCCGTTCCCGTCGTCATCGTCATCGTCGGAGTCGTAGCCGACCCCGCCCGCCCCGCCCCCCTCGCCCGGATTACTGCCCAGGAGATCTGTCACCGTCATCAAAGCCTCCGTCCACTCTTCCTGTTCGGCCGCGGTGTCCGTCCTGGCTATTATCGTCTCGCCACCCTCGCAATCGATCAGCAGGCCGCGGTTGTACGGCTTGCTGAACTCTGCCTCCCACGGGCGAACCGCTCGGATGATGTTGGTTTCCTGAGACAACGTGGTTGTGTACAGGTGACACCACACCGAAGGGTGTCGGGCCCGTTCGAGAGACATTTATCGGAGAACCGTTTCGTCAAGGTCGTCTTGAAAACCACTCCTAGAAGAAGCAGCGATCCCAGCAGCAATGGTTACCAAGCTGACAACAAAGCGTGGGTTCCTGGGCTAACGACAAACGTAACCTTTCGGGGGTCAGATAGTCTAGATGCATGCGAGCCCACCGCAAAAAGCAGCTATCCATGACAAGACCACAAAAAACAAGACACACATATATGCGTACCTCGACTTGTTTTTATTGTTGTCTCCACGTTAAAAATACGTTCCGCCCGGTCTCCGCTCAATACATTCTAATGTCCGTACTGGTCCAACTGACGTGGACGTCTTCCGTGGTCACAAGCCAAGTGAAAACGGGTTAACACCTTTCGAGTATAACAGCAATTGAATGTAAACCTATCCGTATCGTGCCTGCAAGGAAAAAAAAAAAAAGATGAGACACAAAAAAAAAAAACTTCGTCGATAGAGATGGATTCGTTAGGTCATCCTGACAAAAAAAAAATCTCACCACGGGATCCTCGTGGTCCGCATACTGCCTCTTTCCGGCGAAACATCGGAGGATGTTGCCGTGCACCGTGCAGAACTGTCGAGACCACGATGAAGTCGCCGCGCCGACCAGCTTGAAACGCTTCGTCAGGTACCCATTATGCCGCACCTGTGCATCAGTACGGGTATTCGTGTACAGAAAAACACGAGACGGCAATACACAGAAAGACGAGCTTTTAGCTTTGCATGCCATGATGTGTACACATTGACAGCTGCGGTCGGGTTGGATGAGAGGTTCACGAGCAGAAAAACCACCGGGGTGGCTCGTGCAGTTGTGTGCGTGAGCGAGCGCCTGCGTTGCTCGCTACACACTCGACTTTGCTCGGTACACTTGTAGCGCTACTGCTGCGGGTTGTTTCATATGCATATGTCGGTCTACCAAGTCCTAACAGAAGCGAGAACCAGAACGCCTCGACAACTAAGGTCGCGTTCCCGTGTTGCCTGCCGGGACACTACCGTACCGTGTTTCCCGCGGTACAAGGACCGAGAGGCGAGACACGTGCCAACAGTCTACCGGTATGCCATCGGTAGAGCATTGGGCGAATGTGTACAGATATATCCTATGCACGCCTAAAAATGAAAAAACAGAATCGTCCTGCTCTCCAGTGGCAGCAGCATTACATACGAAAGCCCCAAGTCGATTTGGACGCCGTCGGCGTGTACAGGTTGCCAATATGGGACGCATGTGCAAATGGCTTCACAGTCCGCTGAGACGTTCAATTTCCATTGAGGCACTTCGTGACATTATTTTCTGTGAGTTGCGTTCATCCTCCTGGTACCCAGCTGGTTTAAGGTTAGGGGTCCAGGAAAAATCGCGTCCGCTCATTGGGAGAGGCTGTACAGCAGTCCCGAGGGCCGAAGGCTGACTTGGGTTCAGTATGGCGAGTGTACCCACATTAAGTCAGCAATTTTTTCAGTATAAGGCTATGTGGAGTTTTACCAACAAGGGGACCCGACGCACGGGAGATGGTATACAGCAAGCCAAAGGCCCAGGAGAGGCAAACAGGCCCGCACACAAGCAACCATGGTAGACCAAGGTTTCCCACGCACGTTTCACGCAGCGGAGCATAGTGACCACCACGATGCGGTCAAAAGGTAATTGAGTGCTGTGTCCCCGAAATGTCCCCATTTGGGCTCCAGTGCTATGTAGGAGGGTTATCGACCAAGAATCCACCTTTACTTGATGGGCGCGTGCCTCCAGCTTTCTACAGCGAACGTCTTCGCCGCAGAAATTATACCTACTCCGAGTAGGTATGTTATGGCTGTGCTGGGGTCGCTGGTACGCACGTGTAGATGGCGCCAAAGAGTTTGAAACGATACGGATGCCTACCGTTCGTCGCCCAGGCACGTAGGAAAGATGGCACCAAGAGTTTGAGACGATACGGATGCTACCGCCCACGGCTCTAGGTAGATGGCGCCAAGAGTTTGAAATGATTCGGATGCTACCGCTCGCCGCTCAGGCACGTAGGACACCACCCACCCTTCTCCGAAGGCAACCAGTACCGCTGTGATGGCTGCAACGAGCACGACATGTGAACAGTCAAGCAGTCTGACAGCAGAATGGTCGTTTGGGCCCATCGCCCCTCCAAAGACCTACCGACGCATGAAAGGGGCAGATGGCACGGCGACATCTCCTGTCTGTGTGCGGTACGTGCCAGGTACGACAGCACGGCGGCATTTACATGCGACAGAAGATACACCTCCCTTGGAAAGCAGTGGGTGCACTTGCGGCGTTCCATTGTTCCCTGTGTTTTCCAGACGTTGAGGAATACAACTGGTGCCTGCGGTTTTGCTGCGGTGGCTTGAGTGCCGATAGTAAACCCCCTGCCCCGTCTTGCGCGTGTACAGCAGTGTACCGGAGGGCCTCTTGCTTGGTTGCTTCCAATTGCGCTTCGGCTGGGGGAAAACAGCAAGTTGACCAGCAGACGGAAAAACGCTTCCGACGTCTCTTTTCCTCTGGAATTGCGGCGAGACTCCTTTCATCGATCGAGCGGCGAACGAGAGTTGTTTTTGTCGCCTGCTGCACTCCTCATTCACGATGAAGCGCCGTTACCATGTACAAAACGCCGCAGCAGCCTCTCGGAACCCCCGCTGCTGGGGCCTGGGGCCAACTCTATCTCAAGCCAGAATGTGAAAACCTTCCATCGCAACAGAAACTCCGACAGAAGACGAGAGACTACAAGTTAAAGAGGGTGCGGAACTTGCGCCACAAAAAACAGAAAAATATAGACCCGAAAGGAAGAGGAGACAGAGGCGGCGACATTGGGATCTAAAGTGGGATGTTGACACCCTCTGCTCTCTGGGTGTTCACTGCTGTGCCGAGGGGTAGTGCTTCTGTGCATCGAACCAATTGTTGACAGGGCTGCTGCCGGTTTAGTTGACATGCAAACGAGCCGTTTCGACTGAGTCTGATGTATAAGGGAAAGAGAGGCCGTTAGAGGAAAGAGATGCACACGGGAGACACCGAGCGTGCCTACACAGCAGCAGTTCTAGCCGGTATAGTCTAAATCCATCACCAGGACCAGAAATACATATGTAGTCGCCGAGTGAAGTGGATTGGCAACCCGACGTCACTATCATGGCCTCCCTGGCCTTTTTTACCCTCTTGGTGGGCTCCCATCCAAAAATGGCAGTTAGTGGAATGCAGACACTAAAGGCGTTTGTAATGCTCGTTGTTCGGGGCGCATGTTGTTATCGGCTTTTCACGCGGGGGCCGCTTGGCGTCTTGACGTTGCGGTGCGGTACTTTTGGAGACCTGACTACTAGTTGTACCCCTATCTCCCAACAGCAGCGCGCACGCACAAGTCAAAACAGGAACTGAAGGGTCAGGCGCGGGGGGGCTCACCTGTGTGTAGTGCGAAAACGTCTTCCGCCTCTGTAGTGGAGGCGAGTCAGGGGGGATTGTGTCCGCCCAAGAATGGGATACGGCGGTATCGTCTTCGCTGGCATCGCTGCTGCCGCCCATGACACAGCGGCAGTCCTTCCGGGGCAGTAGGCAGCTATCTCCCACACCCCACCACCGCGGTTTGATTGCCCCTTCAGCCCTTGAAACGCCCGACCCAGCAAAAAAAACTCAGCTATCTCCCCTCCAAGGCTCCGCCTTGTTTTTCGAATGCCGAATACCCCCCGCGTGCGGCTCGCTGGGGACCAGGCGCGGCAGCAAAAGAGAGGACAAACAGAAAAGGAAATTTGGAGCAGCAAAGGGAAGAGAGAGAGAGAGTGCCGCACAGAGGAGCAGTGCTTGGTCGACTTCCGAGCCGGTCCCCTTCCCCAACCCAGTGCACGACTCCCGCAGTTCAATTCAAGAACCTCTGCAGCCTCGCCCTCGGCCGGGGCCTGGATAGAGCTCGCTCACGATGCGGCTAACGGCAGCCTCTCCGTGGCGGTTGTTTGTCTTGGGCACACAAGGCTGCGTGTGAGATGCCGACAAAGCGTTGAAACCCGAAAATAGGCGTTTTTTCAGTGCGGGGGTGCGCAGGTCTCCTCTGAGAAAGGTACCCCCCTCCCTGCTCCTGCACGTAACGCAGCACATCAATCGATATTGTCATCGCGCGACTTACCTTACTTGGCACTCTCTGACAAGATATCGGGACGGACGCCGGGCAGCAGGCGCCACCACCTCCCAGTAGGGACAGCTAACAGGAGTTGACGCCCTCTAGTTTTAGATGCTGGAGAGCACGGTGCTTCACCAGAGCCGCACTGGGCCGAGAGGGCAACCTAACGATGTGGTCGGGATCAACTGGAAGGCACCCACCAGGTCTCACCCCAGCCCTTCGCTGGTGGTGACTTGCGCACACCAAGTCGTGGTCTACAAGGTGATCCCCGCCTTGGCTTTTGCTTGGCAGTCCGTCGTCGCGAAGACGTGCCATCCGGAATGGTGCCCACGAAGGTCCAAAATTGGCCACTCACACACACCCACCCGGTTTCTTCTTGCCATCTCCTCCTGCCGTCTTGTTTTCAGTGGTTTAAAAGCGACGGGAGAGGGGTATGTCTCGCAGAAGACATGTTTTTTGAATCCCGCATCTCACACACACCCCTCCGGAGCGTAGCAACGGATGGCAATCGGCAGGCAACAATTGCGCACAACACCGGCTCACGCCCGCCTGCGGGTTGCCGCTGCTGATCTCTTATTTGAATATTTTCAAGTTGTTGGGCCTTGCTCTCTGTGCAAACCTGAACCACGCACACCGGACCTAAGCCTCGGTCTTGTTGCTGCTGTTCCAGCCTGGGGAGGAGCGAAGAACACACCAGTGGTCCTTCAAGCCTTCGGCGGCGACCGTGCTCTCGCACCCGGCGGTGTTCCTGCCGTCACGCTCGCGCTACGTCGGCGTGCAGCAGGGCTCCACCCTGGTTAGCTGGCGGGAGAGCGAGCAGGATGTGAAGCGTCCACTCTCTTCCCAGGTGACGAACGAAACATGAAGTACAACAGTAGGTCTGACTGCCATTGGTGACAGACATGGAGGTGCATGCCGCTTGCTTTGCACGGCAGCAGTGAGAGGCGCCATCATGCCACAAAAATTAGGAACGCTCTTGAAGGCCAGTGCTCCCCCCGCATGGTGGGTATCACGTATCATGCTAATCCCGGTGTCATTGCTCCTGCTACAGTACTCTGTCGCGTTACATTAGTACCGAAGCGGCCTAAAATCTTCCCTAAAATGGTGTAGCCAGTCCACTGCTGCTGCCCTTGTATGTGATACATACCTCGAATGGGTAGTCTCTGTGTATTTATTCCTTGGAAGTCGACGGCACTACGCATTGTATCGTCCGACTACCGACCGTGCCCCGTTAGCGAAAGAGGTGGTGACAGAGTGCCCGTAAGCGCCTCTAGACTGATATACCTATAGAGTATATCTCTCTCTTGTCTCTGGCTCATCCTGGTCGTCCATGCTTATCGGCGATTTTTGTTTTTGTTTTTTGTCTTCACTTCAAATCAGTGCTCACAGCACTAGTGCCGTTTATGCTAACCCGTGGTCACACAGAAGGACCCCTCTCTACCCTCCCCTCCTGCGTTACGTTGCTTTCGATCGTTATGCGAGAAGAGCTCAGCACTCTCTTCCCTCTGTGTACACACGAAATAGCGCTATCCACTAGGCCAGGAGCGGAAGCGAGAGAAAAACTCAATTTGCAAGAAAAGCTCGCTTACGCCAAGATTCGAACCTCCGACCTGACCGCTATAGAAGGTTTCGAGGATTCGGATTAGACCACCGGGGCGACCGGTGTCGATTGCAGGGGGCTATATTCGGCGACATTCGGCGAAACATTCCCTACTTCAAGGTCGAACTACTCTGCTTTATCTACATCATCATTAGAGAACGCGCCCTAACACGCTTGCGACCGTGGTGCAGAGTAGTTGATGAGTGAGAGGGTCCAAACGTTCTTTGTAACAAAAAAAAATATCTTGGACTGTCTTCTATGGAAAGCGATGGATTCGTTACAATGTCACATGAAAAGAAAAGAAAATACTTCAAGATAACGTTGGTTTCCCCACGGAAGTCAGGAGGGAGTCTACGGGCAAAGAAGAGTGTCTTTCGTGGGGTGGCGCGTGCTGCTGTATGCTACCTGCCATTGGCGCCCACCGCATGGGTCGTGGCGACCGCTTGGGAACAGGAGGAGATCAAAGTCGAATCTTGCTGGTCGTTTGCAAACACCCTGCTCTGCTGTAGGCGCAACAAACCAAGCACATTGATGTGGATGCGTCTCGACCAAAACCGCCTTTCGCCAGGAGTTACTGCTGTATTTCTTTGTACATAATCAGCAACTACGCACCTCGGGTGCTCCTTCTTATTCCCCCCCCCCCGCTTTCTCCGGCCCACCAAATTACGCTCGCGCGCCAGGCCGCCGGCCCAATACAAGCGGTCCACGCCTGCCCCCGCCTAGGCGACTACTTCGTGGCCGTTCTGGCCTCAGGAGGCGTCGTCCTCTACCAGGGCGGGCTGCAGCGCGCGGCGCACTTCGACGCCGCCGGTTGCGGCGGAGGCGACGACAGCGGGGGCTCCGCCGGCGATGCCAGGGCAAAGGTGGTGTGGTCGGGCGTCCGCGGCGACAGGGTGCTGGTTCTCGAGAACACCGACGCCGCCGCGGACCGCGTCACCACCTTCTCCTTGTCTGTGGGAGGTGTGGGGTCATCGTCGGTGCGACGAGACGACGCCTCCGCCGCGGCGGCAGACGTCCCGGCTTCCGTCAACCTAGTGTCTTCGCACATTCTGACGAAGCCGTCGGGCGGAGGCGGAAGCCAGGACGGAGAAAGGGCGGCGGCGACCTCAGCGGCGTTTCTTGGGCGCGATAGCGGCGGGAGCGGGGAAGGGCGCAGCGTGATCTCGGTGGCGTGGCGCACGTCGAGCGGGCCGGTCTGGACGAAGGCGGTGATCGGCGCCGGCGGGGTGACGGAGGAGTTCGCGCGGCGCGCGGGAGGGGCGGTGGTTGCCGGTAGCCGCCGCGCGACCGAGTACAACGACAACGGGGTCGTGTCTGTCTCTTCGAGCAACGGCCACGGCACCCCCAAGGCCAAGTCGAAGAAGCCGGCTGAAAATCAATCCTCTGTCGGCGAAGGTAGCGGCGCCGCCTGGGCCAGCGTCCCTGCGATTGCCGCGGCGGACGGCGGACGTCTCCTGATCCACAGCGGCTCCGGCGGGTACTCAAGCCCTCGGCTCGCCGTGTGGGACTCCTCGTACGGCGTGCTCCTCGAGGACGGGGTTTCGCCGGAGTTTTCGAGCGACAGCGGCAGGGGGGGTTCGGCGTCACGCTTATCGGGGAGAGCCGTCGGCCTGAAGGTGTCCGGGGACGGCGCTCACCTCGCCATCGCTGCGGCGGGCAAGGTGCTGGTGTGTCCGCTCCCGGCGCAGGCGGCGGGGACCCTGGCTTCTCTATTAAGGCGAAAGCGTCCCTCTCCCAGCGCTATCGGAGAGAGTACCATCATCTCCGCCGGGCGTGGGTCGAGTTTCCCGTCGATCGACCTCTCCCGCAGCATCCCGGCGTCGACGCTCCTCGAAAAGACCGGCGCCGTGGAGGCGGGGAAGTGGGAGGCGGCCGTCGTGGTCCCGTTTCGGGAGGCAGAGGCGGGCGTGATCCGGTCGCTCGGGGAGGCCGCCCGCCGAAAAGACATCGAAGCGTTCGAGCAGGTACTTCGGGAACACCAGGGGGGTTCTTGCAGTAGTGACGGGAGGGGGGAGGACGGGAGCAAGAAGAGACAGCGGGGGGATGGAAGGGGGTTCTCCGCGGGTGTCGTCGCGGCTGCAGTTGAGCTGTGCCTCGCGAACCCGGACGCGAAGCTCTGGGGCGGCCTTGGGGTGTTGGTGAGGTCGGGCGGGGTGTCCGCGCGGCATCACCGGGGGCTTGTGGCGGAGATCGTCGAGCATGCCTCCCCCGAGCTGCTCGAGGAGGTGAGAGTTCATAGTTTGTTCGAGATCGTGCAGGTTTAAGGGGGCATCGGTGGGTGCTCGCCCTGGGGTTTTCTCATGTGCTGTGAAACGTTTGGGTGGAAACATTGTGTTGTTTGTGCTCTTCAGTGGTGGTGGATGCCCGCTAGGTTTGGGCTGTGCGTCTTCCCCTGTGATGGGAAGGGCTGTTCTCCGATCGCCGTGTGCACCTCTGGCACATGAACCTTGTGGAAAGATGTTTGATGAACACGGCGGGAACATACCCCGTGTGAAGCTCGCACTTGCTACCAGGCGGCCGTGGCGGCTATCGTGAACCGCCACAGTAGACGACACCCGGACGGCAGCGTCTTACTCCCCCTGTGTCTTTCGTCCCCTCTTGGCTTTCCAAGGTCATGCTCCACGTCCCCGATCTCCCGGAGGTAGATGCGGTGCGAATTCTCCGCCACTTCCTCTCTCAAGCAGCCACGCTGGCTGAGGCTTCCGGCGATCCCGCAGCGGCGGAAGTAGCGGCGGCGGTTGTGCCCGTGGTTCCCAACGAGGAGAGCGGCGGGGCTCCTCCGACCAAGAGGGCTAGAGGAGGCAACGGCGG